CTGCAACGCACCACACACACAAACACAGACAAACCCATTAACACTCAAAGCGCTGTGTTCATACTAGCAACTACACAATAAACTGCAACTGCACAGCTGCTGTTGTTTCGGTGTTATAAGCATGTGGCAGTGGATGGACTGGACGGCTGCAGAGAACACTGCAACACTTTAAAAGCACATTTATGCGTTCCTGTGCATTTTTTTACCAAAATGATTTTTGCTCGATCATGTGAAGATAACAACAGAAACTCATCTTGATCATGTGCGACTGGTCAGCAATGCTAAACGCTCGCAGTGAATTGTTAGAAGCTCATTTACATATTGCAGCTTTTTGCAATATCAGTATTGCAAAGGCCAATACTGCCAGAATGGTTAACAGATGATACACTGTCCACAATATCAATACAAACCCATCTACTCCAAAGAAAAGCTTAGATGATATGTGCATGGAAATGAATGACCCATGAGGTCACAATGTAAAGGACATCCTTAAGGGGCTGGAAAGCTTCTCTGTGTGACTATGGGCCTCGCTGAGCTGGTGGTTTTATCAATGATGTAAACAGAGCAGATGAACATACGGCTGACCACACAATAAAACACTGTCTCACGTCTCCTCACACAGCTGGATGATTCCGGGAACAGCCAAAGTCGCATCTAATCGCTAAATAAAACAACACTCAATGAACAAAGAACGCAATGTTTCACGTCAACCAGCTTCCAGCAGTTCATGGCTCTGATGTTAATGTTTGCCCCTCTTCTCATGTTTAATATAAGCTGCTGTGACACGGATATCCTGGCGCTTCGGTATCACTGACTCCACTGTCCTGTAAACCTTCCAAAACTATCAACGGCAGCAGCCAAAAAGGAAACATGGGGATATCACCTTTCATATTTACTCAGGCCAGAGCAATCAAACCCTGAGAAGATCCAGATGTTTGTTCTGAATAACACAGCAAATACTTAGACCAGACAAGATGGATAAGAAAATGCCACTTCGGGATCCTTCCTGCACTTTGAACACGCCTATACATACTGAAGAGAAGAAACACCCCGCACTACAAGCCCAACTGAGGAAAATACAGCACTCAGTCGCGGAAAAACAGATCGTGAATATCAGTTATGAATAATTGATGGTTTGGGCCTGTGTGGTTTCAGTCCAATTGGTTGGGACACTCCCTCATCCTCTCAGTGCTAACAGACAGACAACCATGACTCACGAGCTCAGTGACTCAGCCAAACAAACTGATTCATATTTTTCTGCATCACCGTGGACTGAAATATAAAGAACTAAATGTTCTTAAACTTTTCCAAACACAAATTCTATCATACACATGTCACAGTATGCTTTTCTGAGCAGGGAGATCGTCAGTACCTAACGAACACTGGGCACAGGTTTTTATTACAAAGAGAGCTTAATTAGGTCTGTTTAACTGCAGTGAAGCAGTCAAAACTCACTGCATTTACAGTTTTTGATTACAGCATTTTTTAAATGAGCCACTGATGGTTTATCTGTCAAACCTCAGAAAAACAATAGTGACGTATATTGTGTGTCATGAAAATGTCTTGGAGTAAGTAATAATGTTAAATTATTGCCATATCGCGCAGAAGAGTTCTTAATTCATTATGCTGTCTTTTGATGACACCGATCCGACACCGGGTATCGATATATGAAGCCGATAACAGCAGAAAATGCTGGATCAGATATTGGAGAAAAAAAAAAGAATAAATCTGATTCTATTCTCTATCATATCCAGCCTGAAACAGCACACAGACACATTACGTCATACTGTAACAGTGTATTTCTCCTCGTGAGGTCGTAGAGTTTAAGTAGTTTGAGCATGATGGCCAACTTTCTCAACTTTGGTGAAACTTGAATTAAAACAGCTCATTTTAAAGTAGTTTTTACAGAACAATATCAGATCTGTACTGGCTGATACTCACAGTCTCAATATCAGTATCGTTATCAGAAAACAAAACGTGGTATTGTATTGTGCCACCTGCACTGATGTTCTTCATTTCATCCTGTAATTTAGTCAGCGCATCTGTTTTAGTTATTTATCTGACGCTCTTTATAAACACTAAAGACACCACAGTCAGGGTCATACTCTGCTTCATATGTTACAACAGTGGTAAACGAGTCCGGGTTCAGGAGAGAACTGACCTAGTATGCTGTTCCCTGCTGGGTTCTGACCTGTACTCACTCTCTCTCACACACACACACACACACACACACCAACGAGAACCATGGCCTTTACAGCAAGGAACAAAGAGATAAAAAGAGAGTGATGGAAGAGGGGGATGGGAGGAAAGGCAAAGAGGGAGCACCAGAATCTATTAATAATTTAAGAGGATAATCAAGTAGCCAGACAAATCTCATTCATGATGTACCTCCCCCATCACCAGAGCAGCCAGCCAGAGAGGGTTGGTGTGTGATACAGTGTGTGTGTGTGTGTGTATGAGTGTGTGTATGTATGTATGTGTGTGTGTGTGGAGAAAGAAAGTCTATTTGCACACATGTATATGTATGGAAGTCTAGTATGCCAGCCACGCATCTCGAATCTCATCATATGCAAATACACCTCCGTCTGAAATCCCACACACGGACTTACTTTCACATTCACACACACAGCAAACCCACAACACAAGGCACGCACAGGGTCCCAAGCTGCTGTGAGCTATTGATTTTTGGGTCACAGGAAAAGAGGACATGATCTACTTGCATTTTTACAGTTAACCCCAGCAAATCGCACAGCTCAGTATGTGGAGCTGGCGGTATTGATAAATCTCAATATCACTGTATTTTCCGATTATAGCACAGCAGGTCGTACGATGTTTGAGTCTGCATTAATAACGTTAATGAACTCTCGTTTCCTGAGTGCTGGTCCTCCTCACTAAAGGAATGTCTTACAAAGCTGATATGGCTTGATTTGTTCTGCTTCTCTTAAAGGAAACACAGAAAACAAAGCTGCATTTTCCTGGCCAATTCACACAAACGCTGCTTGTCACTGTATCTTCCATCAAATGTGAAATCCCTAATGTTTGGGGATATTTTCCCTTCTCATCACCACCTCACTCAAATAACCACACCCACTCACCCAGCCTTCATACTTATACTGTTGCAGCTGCTGTTTCACACGAGGACGTCTCTGATGATCAGGACAGTGTAAAACAGCTGCATAATATCACAAACATTACGTTTCGCTGTCCGATTCAGTCGATTTATTGGCTTCCTATGGGATCACTGGGCTACATTCTGTTCTCAGTAAAGAAAGTTGGGCATGTAGCTAACAGGCTAACAGAAAGGCTTGAGTTTAAATCTTCACTGAGGGAGTTAACATCCAAACTGTGACATCTGAAGTAAAGGACATCTTACACGAATGTCTGTTAAAAGCTTTAAATGTCTGCGATTAAGGAAGACATTAATATTCGCCACTGTTAGCTTAGTTCTAACATAATACTGAAAACCCCATTAGCGTGCTACTGAAAATTAGCTTTGTCTTTGCCGTGGCAAATGAGTAAACAAAAGCAAGTAGCTGGCACATGCTTAAGATTTGGTGACCACATCGCGTCTCTCAGAGCAAACAAGCTTTAAAGATAAATAAACATGGCCTCCTCATGCTGTGCTCCGCTAAAGCCATTATTCAGCTCTCCACCGCCGCACAAAGGCCACACCTCCTACACCACCCCCTCCACTGAGATGTTTAATTGCAGAGGTCATTAACATACAAACTCAGGAAATGACCTTTTCTGTACAGCAGTGGAATCGACAAGGTAAAACACATCATACAAAGACTGAATTAAGGTGTTATTTGTTATCTATGAACAAAACTAAATTACACAAAAACAGTAAAAGATTAAGATTAAGTGACCCTTATTAGTCCCACAGTGGGGAAATTTCACCTCCGCATTGAACCCATCTGTGCAGTGAAACACCACATACACACTAGTGAACACACACACTAGGGGGCAGTGAGCACACTTGCCCAGAGCGGTGGGCAGCCCTACCCACAGCCCTGGGAGCAGTTGGGGGTTAGGTGCCTTGCTCAGGGGCATTTTCACATATACGTACTGTCAGCTCAGGGGATCAAACCGGCTGGTCACAAGGCTGGTTCCCTAACCTCCTGCCCACGACTGCCCCCTAAACTACAGCTCCTTTAAAAGGAACCTTTCACAACATAACATTAACCAAACAAACCTGCAGTATTTAGTTTGTATGTATAACCTGAAGCATCCAGTACAAAGACATACATGTAGAGCTGGGCGATATGGCCAAAAACGTTATCACGATAAACAAAATTAATATCGTTCGATATCGATACACATCGCGATAAATGTCAAATCATGATTTCTTTCACGTTTGAAGGCTGATTTTGCTCCTGGGGGGTTAATTGTGGGCTGATCAGGACAAACACTCGGCAAACAGTAGAACATTTCACTAATCTGTCTTGGGACAGTGGGAGAAAGTTTCTGAGCTGTTTTTATCAGCTGGAAAAGCACAACTGCAGTTTTTGTAATAGTCATGATTTAAGAAAGAAAGCAGATTATTTTAGCTGTCTGGTGTCGAGCGCTCGGCTACCCCGCTACAAACGCTAAACAAGTGGCCAACAACAGAGCTAAACTCTTTAGTTTCTCAACAACGTCAACTCGGTTCGGGAGGTCACTGCGGTCACTCCTACCACATCCATGTCAGAGCAGATCACAGTATTCAGACACCAGCTAGACGGCTGGGTTTCTCTATGCTATCGCAGTAGTTTGAGGGGTGAACCGCAGTATATCTGACGCTCGCTGTGTAAAAGCATTATCTGCAGTGTGAATCTCTCACACCAGTCACAGAGTCCTCCTTTTAGGCATGTTTAAACTGAAAGCGGTGATTTTGTGTCTTGTTTGATCTACAGCATCATCAATTCACCGTGTTGTGCCGGAGCGCCGCTTCAATTAGCCAGCAGCTAAAAACAGCTAGCCTGGAAAGACGGCGCTCTCCCGCTCTCCGACGCCTCACA